ATACCTGACACCCAAAATTAAGGAAGGAAGATTTATTTAGCTCACAGTTTGTGGAGGTTTTAATCCATACTTGGCTGGCTCCAAGGTAGAGTGGCACGTGGCAGAGGGCAGCAGTTCATGGTGGTAGGAAACAGCAAGAGCAAAAAGAGAGGGGCAGGGGCAGCCGAGAGCAAGCCTCTTTCCCTCCCTTATGCTGCATTCAGGCTGTCCAGCCCAGGGCAGGTGTATCGCTCACACCCGTAATCCCAGCACTGGATCATGAATTAATATGAACTCTAGAAGCCACTGCATGACTGCACGAGGTTTTGGAGGGACATCTAGACACAAACCATAACAGACAGAAATGCTCTAGGTCAGCACTTATACAACTGCTCACAACTTCCCAAACCCATCAATGTGTATACTTATAATTGGTGGCTTTTATTGTATGTAAAACACCTCAATAAGGTTTCTACAAAGGTACAAAGAGTGAAAGGTCATCATTTCAGGAGGTTCTATACCCACCAAAAGGCAGGCAGAAGAAGGGGTACGTGCCCTCTCCTCAGAGGCCTGGTTGATATCATCCATGATGGGCCTAAGCACAGATAGAGCCACACACATAACCCCCTCTGAAACCTATTGTAGTGTACACACACACACACACACACACACACACACAAAGCATTAACAAAGCATTTCATATTAACATCTATTTTTATAATGGACATAGGACTCACATAACTGATCAAGACAAAGCACAAAAATTCAATGCAAAAGGACTTTCATATTATCCCAGGTCCTGAGAGCATCACTTGCTACCCTCAGAGATTCCTCTGGTTTGGCAGAGAGGAGTGTCTGTGCCCGTCTCTCCCTTGAGTGTGAAAGGTTCAAGCCCCCACTGGTGGATAGTTCTAACCACCCTGCATTCTCCATAGTTGAGGCCCCATTTGAGGGTCGGTCTGTCCCTCTGAGGCTTTCTCACTAACCCTCTGTAGTGCTCCCTTGTTATCTTCATTGCCACTGTATAGCAGTCCTCCTCTTCAGAGTTACCTGTGAGCTGTTCACCAGCCACACAGCAGCTAGAAATGTTTCCCTGAACTGGACAGCATACTCTCCAGGCTTGAAAAGTCTGTTGGGTTGAGCTAAGCTAAGATAAAGGAACACTGGTGTATTTACCATTTCACTTCTCTTCTTTAGGGTCAGAAAATTCTGTCACTTTGTCTATCAAGAAGCCCATGATATCTGCACCATTTTCTCAAGTGGACTTCATGACCAGGAATAGTATAAGCTAGTTTTGAAGTGGGATTTTGTGGTATCTAATCCAATAAAACTTTTGGAGACCCAAACTTTCAACTCTTCGATGTGAATAGGAAGGGACTTTAAAATCATTTTAAGGCTCAGGAAACCCTAAAAGAAACTCAGAGCAAAATATTCTGCTAAAGCACAGCAGTATCAGGAAAATTCAGACAAACTGCTACACAACTCACAAGTGGTCACAGTGTGTTCATGATGACAACACATTGATGCTTGAAAGTCCTCAAAACTGAAGCAATGGTGACTGACACTTACCGAGATCTCAAAGCCCAGAGCAGTCCATAGTCAAAAAACAGCAGAGCCTGGATTTGAAACCAAGCAATCTGGACTTGGAATCTGCATTGTAACCCCTAGGTTACAGTCTTATACGCTGTATTACGTCTTCCTAACGAAATTTGTCAATGTCCCAAACACCAGTTCTTCAGAGTGTAACTGCAGTTAGGGATAAGGTCTTTTTGAAGAGGTTATTAAGATAAAATGAGGTCCTTGGTGGGAGAAGAGCTGATCCAATAGGGTCAGAGTCCTTGTAAGAAGAGGGAGTGACCCCAGGAGTGGGTATACGTACACAGCAGAAAGGTCAAGTGAGACCACAGAGGGGATGCTGACTCTAACCCAAAGGTCTCCAGGAAAAGCCAAACCTCCCAATACCTTGACCTTGGACCTCTAACCTCCAGATTAGGAAAAAAATAAAAATATTTTCTCATGCATTAGCGTGGCATTTGATTATGGCAGTCCTAGCAAACAAGTACAACTAGCATAAGCTAAATTCCAATCTCCCTTCCTCCCAGAGACCCAAAGGCAAGCTCCCAGTGTACTGAAGATACTCAACCCAATTAGCAAGGACACTTCACCAAGCTGCCTTTAACACCCAAACCAAGAGAAAATAAAAACAGCATCCCTACTTAATTGCTACTGCCACATACTTTCTTACTCTGAATACTATCTACCAGTGATCTTATCAGACACTCCTTTTTGTGGAAGGTCCTGATAAGAGACTCAGCCCTGTCCTTTGTTTTCTTCCTCTTCCAAGCAGGCACCATACTGACATCTTGTAATTATGGACCACAGCCAGAGAACAACCTTTCTCCTTCTCTGCTGGACACTGCCCTGTACTTCTATTAAGCACATGCAGGATAGTGCTCCCCTGAATGAGCTTCACAAATATTCTCATCCTATTGCAAAACCACACTTCACAGTGCAAGTACTGGTGGTTTTCCGGGCCATCCCTTGCTCCACACAGGCTCCTGAACTGATTTGCTATGAAGGTTTGATCTGAGGCGTTAGAATACCACGGGATTTAATCCACCCCCTAGAGGCTCAGTGAATTTTTACTCAAACAGAATGACTTAAAATAACACATACACTCCCCTGATTTTTCCACCTTCCCCCACCACTGCCCTGTCCTTTGTCCTGAGAAGAAATAGACCATGGTGCTTTCCTTTAAGAAGGGAACAGAACTAGAGGCATTTAAATCCCCATTTGGGCTTCTGGACAGCTCCATGAAGTTGGGAAATGATTTTTTTAAATCTTTTTATCTATTTTCCTATTTATTTGGTACAGGATCTCGTTATGGAGCTCAAACACATAGTGATCCTCCTGTCTCAGCCTCCCCAGAGCTGGGATTACAGGCGTGCGCCACCACGCCCAGTTTCAGTAGGGGGCTCTGGCGCAGGACCAGCATGGCACTGCGTGAGGTACCGGGAATCAAACCCAGGTCCTTGCCAGGCAGATACTTAAACCACAGAGCTATCTCCTCCACCCCAGGAAACAATTTTTAATGGGGAGGTTGTCACTGAGACAGTGTGCTAGTCTTAGTTGCATGTGATAAAACAGGGTTCCTCCCAGGAGGTCTTGCAATGCTTTGGAGGTGGAGTAAGAGGTGGCCAAGGGCCTTAGTGATAAGAGGGCTCTCTAGTCAGCTGCATGAAATGTGCTTTCAGGATAGATAACTTTGCTACAAACACTCCTCCTCTGCTTGGGGTGAACATCAAACTCACACTTCTGTTATTAGTATAGTATAGCTTGGCTTACTGCACATTTTCTCATACAAAGAGCCAAGCTTTTGGTATATTCCAGACTCTGAGCTTCAGGCACTGACACAAATGTAAGTACTTTAAAACTAACCAGGGTTTAGCCTGCCTTGGAAAAATAGGCAACTAACCTTGGGTCCACGCCTGTGGTTGTGGGTCTGGGGCAAGAGTATAAATGAAGGTCTGCCTAGTTACTTTACCATGTTAATCAGCTAGCCAGAGATCACATCATCCTCTTCCTTTAACTAATGTGGCTTTATAATAGCCCAGAAGGCCAGATCCAATTCAGAATTCTCAGATTTCTCAGGGTCCTGGCCCAGACATCAAAGAGAAGCCCTGGCAGTGGACAGTCCCTTCTTTCCCTGTCTAGGCTCCTCTCTCTTGGAGGCCTCTTGGACACTGCTGTGGACCCCAAGGCTACCTTCCAAGCTCCTCAGCCATATCAGCAAACAGTGGCCTCAACAGAGCCCCTTTGGGCAATCCTCCGGGATCAATCTGTTCTCCTTTGGTCAGTCCCCAACACTAGCTTGGGCCCCCTTGAAAGGTGAATTCCATCCCGCTCTTTTGGATAGTAGGAACTCTGAATGGTCACTTCCTTGGAGGTGGAGATTTCTTGTTCCTGGGAAGAGGGTGTGTGAGAAGCAGACCAGAGCAGGCCTGTACATCCACAGGACACAAGAGTTATACTGACTAAAGACCCACTCTGCCTGAGGCTAACCAGGCTTATGTGTCTTTCCTGGAAGTTCTGCAGGTGGTTGAAGAAAGAATTCTTGCTTGGCATGGTTGAAAGAAAGGAGATGAATTCCTTGTGGCCGTGTAGGTGGGAAACAAAATCAGCAACTGATGTCCAGATGTAAAAAAAAGAAATATTCTTTTAGTGGTTAATGGAATGAATAACAGTGTTATTCACTTAACTCCTTTCTTTCTATTTCTGAAAAAGCTTTGCAGAGAGACACCAAAGAAGCCAGGGGAGGACCTAGGGAAGGCAGCTGGGCCCGCACAGCTGCAGCCTGGGGTCCGAGCCCATGGCCAGCAGGTCAGAGCCGTTGGGTCCGAAGCACACAGGCCTGGCTGGTGGAGCCCTGGAAGTCACAGAGGCAGGCGGAGGGCCCGGGCCTTGCCCCCAGACCTGGGCTGGTACCTGCTCTGCTTCGCAGGGCAATTGGTCGGCTTCCGAGCCTGCACTTTCAATTCTCTCAAATGGGACAGGGCCCGCGCGCACCACCCCTGATGCCCCCTCACAAGCCAGCGCAGGACAGCACACTGTCTATGCCGCCTAGCACCCGCACCTGTTTAGACCTGGAAGCCCTCGGGCCAGAGCTGCCGCAGAACCCCGCCGGGGCCGGGCAGAGACGCTCCGACCTCCTGCGAGCCGTGGGTCAGCGGGAACTGCGGGGGAGGACAGCGGAGGGTTGGCGCAGGGGCAAACCGGGTCCGCCGTGGAAAGCGGGAACCTGGTCGGGTAAAGTCCCGGTTGTGTTCTGGCCCTGTCGGCAGCTGACCCGGCGCAGGCGCCTAACTCGGACCCGCAGGAGCAGGAAGAAGAGTAGGTGGAGGACGCCGGCCGCGCCCCGCCCGCTGCAGATGGGCGCGAGTCCCGGCGAGGTCTGAGGGGACCCCGAGCTGAGCGGAGCTGAGCTGAGCTGAGCTCGGGGCGTCGGGGCACGCCGCACTCACCCAACAACAGCAGCTTCAGCTCCCGGCGCGCGTCCTTCTTGTCCCGGCGGAGCTGCCGCTCGATCTCGGCGCTAATGCGCTGCGACTCCTTCTCCTCCGCGGACAGGCAGCAGCAGCCGGCCATGGCCCGGGCCGGCCCGAGCGGGGCGGCTTGGGGCGGGCGGGTCCCGGACGAACACGCGTGTAAAGTCTGGGCGTCGCTTGCCCCGGAGAGAGTGAGCGAGCAATAACCCTGGGGGAGAAAGGTCTGGGTGGTTTCGGGCCGGGAAGTTCCAAAAGCCTAAGCGGCGCCCACAGACCGAGCGGAGCAGGAAAGTTCCTGCCCGCGGCTCTAAGTAGCAGCGGGAGGCGGGGCGTCTCGAACCCGCGACCCTGACGTCTACACGGTTGACCCTCGAGCACCCCGAGCCGATGGCTCCAGGGGCCAAACGGGGACAGTGGAGCTGCTGAGGGTCCTCGAATCTGAAGTCCTCACATTCAGCTTCGGGAGGGTCGCCTGCCGAGGCTGCTGCACCCGCACGCTCTGGCGGCCAAGTCCTTCCCCAGCCTCCGCCGAGGCGGCTGTGGGCTGTCAGGACCTGGAGCTGAGGCTGCACCCTGGCCTCTCGGCCTGGGAAGCGCTGCGAGAGACAGCCGCCGCCGGGCTCAGGGCGAGAAGAAAGCTGCTCCGGCGCCTCCTAACCACCGGATGAGCGGCGCCGGGACAGGACAGTGGAGCTGGCTGGCTCGTTTGCATTTTATAATGGAGACGACTCCTGCTTTGCAGAAAGGGCTGGCAAGTCCCTGCCCCAGCCATGAAGCTTCATTGGCCTGGCTCCTAGAAATTGGAGGTCAGCCTTGGTTAACCTGCATTAGAAAGGAGACAGAGAGACAGGGAGACAGAGACAGAGATAGAGAGAGATTAGTTTAAAGCACAGCTTTCCAGCTCAAATGTGAGACAGAATGCTGATCCCAACACCTGATTTATTTTTTTTTTTTACCTGAATATTTTTTGAGTAAAAAGTAAAGAAAGCAGAAAGAGAAGGTGAAGGGAGGGCATCCTATTGGCCACAGCAAGGAATGTTCTTTCCTTCTCCAGCTGACAAACGTGCGTGCACTCTTTATGGAGCTGGGCAGTCAGCTAGTACTTCCGCTGTTAAGGAGCACAACGTGCCTTAATGTGAACGGCACGTGTTTTATCAGTCCACACAGCTGCGTGGAGTAGTATGCAGAGAGCTTGGCAAGGCAATGCTATCAGCAGAAAGGCCCTATTTATTTTACAGCTTAAGAAATGTACACGAATTAGGCATTAAAAATAAATGCGCGCACATTCTTCAATGCTTGACTCTTGAGTTAGGGCTCAGGAATAAACTGGCAGTAACAGTGACCCCTGCAGGAAAAGTGGACATTTCTAATTTGATCCTTGGCCATTTAGTCAAGGTTTCTCACATAGCTCTTAAGATTCATTTATAATCTGAGAATTAAATCTCCTGGCTTCTCACACTTACAGATGTGTGATAATTATCAGTATTTCACTTTAGTAAACCTAGAGCAAATTTGACCGCCAAATTAACTGGCATAACTGATCTGTTAGGTCCTAAATTGCTAAGATTTCAAAAATCCTGACACATAGTTTACAGCAAATTTGCACAACTTTCCTTGCCTGGTCAACTTGGCAGCATGTATCAGAAGCCTTAAATGTGTCCACAATCAAACCAGTAATTCTTCGCATAAGAAATAACCATGGCTGGGGAGCGAGGCGGAGAGAGCCTTTTTACCAAAATAGCCACGAGGACAAAGAAGGAAGCCCCTGCCCTTCTCAAAGCTGAAGCCAAAGCAAAAGCTTTGAAAGTCAAGAAGGCTGTGCTAAAAGGCATCCATAGCCACAAAAAAAACATACAAATGCCACCCACCTTTCTCTGTCCCACGACACTGCTGCTCAGGAGGCAGCCCAAATACCATCGGAAGAGCGCCCCCAGGAGAAGCAAGCTTGACCACTATGCCATCATCAAGTTCCCCCTTGACCACAGAGTCAGCCATGAAAAAGATTGAGGACAACAACACTCTCATGTTCATCGTGAATGTCAAAGCCAATAAGCACCAAATCATTTAAACAAGCTGTGAAGAAGCTCTATGATATTGATGTTGCCAAGGTCAATACCCTAATCAGGCCTGATGGAGAGAAGAAGGTGTATGTTTGACTGGCTTCTAATTATGATGCATTGGATGTTGCCAACAAAATTGGGATCATCTCAACTGAGTCCACCTGGCTAATTCTAAATATATACTTTTTCCCAGTTAAAAAAAAGAAGAAAGAAAAAGAGAAAAAAGAAAGAAAGGCCATGGCTAAGCCCCATCACTTATGGCTAAGATTTTATTTTTAATAACAACCCCCCTCATAATACCTGAAACCCCAACAACAGGGAACAGGTCAGAAATTATGATGCATCTGTACAATGAGATACTATGTAGTTATTACATATTGTGACCATGTAAGTGACAGGCCCTGTTACATGCCACCTAAAGATGTTTTGGTCCATGACATGTGATATGTAGCAGGCTGCTTCTGGAAGACTATATTACTAAGTGAGGCATAGCCATTTTAGCTCATGTAAATACACTCCAGGATGATCTCACGTTGACCAGATGGCCTGTGTCACATCATTATGTGTGAATAACCATCATTTAGGGAAAATCCTTAAAGAAGTGATGAAAAACAAGATAGAAAACATAGGCATTATAATATGAATGTTATTATAAGAATGCACATCAGCAACTTTAAGAAACTAAAGGGACTTATACCCAAAAGATAAGTTGCTCTCGGCCATACCCATTGATTGATTGATTTAATTTTTTGATTTAAAAAAAAACCATTTGGGGGTAACTCTTAGAAAGTTATTTAAGGGCTGGCCAAATAGCTCAGTGGATTAAAACACCTGAAAGTAGGCACAGGGGCTGGAGGTTTGATCCCTGGGCCTGCTGTGCTGGCCCTGCCCCCAGGGCGCGCTGAGACTGGGCATGGTGGTGCACGCCTATAATCCCACTGCTTGGGAGGCTGTAAACAGGAGGATCACTACGAGACAGATCTACATAGTGAAACACTGAACACCCTGTAAAACCTTCCCTAAAATACAGGGGAAAAAAGTTATTTAGATCTCACTTTCTTTAATTATAAAATGAGAAGGATGGACCAGAATGAATTCAGAAGTGTTCACCCAACTCTAACATTCATTTATTCTCTGATGTTCACAATACTTATCAGAAGATATTAGGAAGAGTCATAAACCTGAAGTCATTACACATCTGGTGAAAGCTATAAAATGGATTTGATGAGTCAGTTAGTTTTATAATTCTATATTTTGTTTCTCTTTTACCTATCTTTAGGATCTGGGGGTGAGATGAAAGTAACTTTACATTATGAATTTATTTGAAATAACTTTCCAAGAAGCCATAGTTTGGAAGTTTTTCGTACAAGAGAATGTTTTCCTAAATTATTCCAAAATTGTGTAGTTCCACTCCTCTACGCCTTGCTGATTAGAGCCCAGACGAGCACTGGGTTGCAGATGCCACCAAATGTGGGGCTACGTGAGTGAGTTGATTGTCTGGTATGTGTCTGAATGTCCGCTGAGTCTATTCCAGCCCTGGTACCAGGCAATGAGGATTGAGATAGCAAGACAGTTGCACAGTTCAGACAGAGCTGCAGTCTGCTACAAAGAATCAAGACTGAGACCCTGAAATCCATGCCATTCTCTCCTGATTCCCAGGGAGAGCGCAGTCACCTAAGTGCAGTCGAGGCTACTGGAATACAGCAGACCTTTCACAGACCTCTTCTTCTTAGCCAGTGGGGCTCCAGACAGCTTGCCTGTGTCTTTCCCACACCGAGCCCAGTGCGTGTTGTTCCCTCTTCCAGGCACACCAGCTCCCACCCCAGGCAAGGTTAAGTCATTTCCTTTCTGATCACATCTCTTCTGAGAAGCCATCTCATCCCTTCCCAGACCCATTTTTCTCTGCTCCTTGGACACCTCCTGTCTTCCTTCCTTCAAGCTCACACCCTCTTACACCTTCATCTTTCTTTTTTTAAACATGAATTTGGTACAGGGTCTCACTACGCAGCTCAGACTTATAATGATCCTCCTGTTTTCAGCCTCCCCAGTGCTGGGATTGCAGGTGTGCGCCACCACGCCCAGTCTCAATGTCTAGCTCAGTGCCCCGGGGAGTGGGGTTGGTGCCGGCATGCATGTGATGCCAGGGATCAAACACTGGTCCTAAACTTGCCTAAGCAGGTGCTTAGTCCACAGAGCAATCTCATAAACCCCACCTTTGTCTTTCAATTCATTTATTATTCACAGGCAGAGGTTTCTTGTGCATGTTTCTATCCTTAAATTAGCACATTTTAGAGGGACAAATAAAAAAACAAAACCTAGAGGAATTCATTTGAGATGAGAGAAATTTGTCATGGTGGAAGATAGGGGAAAACAAACAGGCAGCACATGAGTGCTTGTGTGAGTTGCCCTCCCAGAGACAGTAACTGCCTTTCTTTTATAAAACAATTTATTGCATCATATTTGATACTTTAAGTTTGACAACAAAGAAGAAATTACATCTGTAACTGCAGGAAAAACAAGCTGGTCTGTTATTGGAAAAAAAAAAAAAAACTCTTGGGCCCTTTAAAAATTGCAAAGTCTTGGGCTTGCCTGAAACAACTGAGCAAGAAACATATTCTTGTTCTAAGTCAGAACTCAGAGGGAATGCACAGTAGAGGGCTGGAGAGATACCGCAGTCTTCTGCAAATGTACCAACTTAGAGCGTTCACAAGGAGCACAGAGTACCTGTGGCCTTGGGGACACTCACAGGCTAAAACAACACCATCACCTCTGCTGCTCTATCTCAGCACTTTCCAAGCTACAATTGTGACTTCTTGCTGGGTTATGATCAGAATTTTTTAAAGAAAAATAATAAAACATACAGAAAATATCAAAGCACACTGCATGCATTATTATGTCATAAAACTTATGCTAATGCACATAAGCATCCATTGTGAAGCAGATCAATTGTCAGCGGGGCTTTAATTGACTCTATCCCAGATAGACTGTCCTATCAGGTAGCACCTTTTAGAACTGGCTTGCCAATTAAGCATTACCATGTTCTTCTCATCTCCAACAAGGAATTGAATGACACAAGCTAAAAAGAGTGCCAAGGGGCTGGGGTGATATCTCAGTAGAATAAGCGCTTGCCTGGCAAGTGCAAGGGCCTGAGTTCAATCCCTGGTTCCAGAAAAAAAAAAAAAAAGCGCCAAAGTTTATTTGAAAAAATGAGGGTAGAAGATAAAGGACAAACTGGCTTTCAGAGAAAACTTAAGCCAAACAAAAACTAGGTGTAGTGGATTTCTTTCTTTCTTTTTCTTTTCTTCCTTTTTTTTTTTTTAAATTCAGTACAGGGTGCACAGGGTGTACATAGCCTCACTGTGTAGATAGGACTCA